ACGACCCAGATTACTTCACCCCTTGGATAAACGAACTCCTCCGACAGAGATACCCCTGCCACACTGAGGACCGACTGTGTCCTCGGGAATTCCACAGTGCCACCTCTAGCGACCCCCGCTGCTCTGATTTCCCTTCTTCGGATCACACCTACTACTTCATCCACCCCGGATTTGTCGTCATCACCACCAGTTTCCTGCCTTTCGCCTTCTTCTTCCGTATCGTCAACTCAGCGTCGTCCCGTGGCCGGTCATAGCCCCCTACTGGCCCAGCACGCCCTGCGAGAATTGTCGACGACGCGGCGATCAGAGAACCCCGGAGTTCCGATGGCTTAACCCGAACGCGAGACGACCAGTGCCGCGTGGCAATCCCTGACAGGCGGACTCCTCGGAACCTCACTTACCTCGAAGGGGCCAGCCCATGAACATCCGTCCCCGAAACCAATGGCTCGCTCGGTCCTGAGCGAACCACGCTTGTAACCCGAAAACGCCCTCTTCGCCAAATTGCACTCGTGCCCCCAAAAGACCCTGTCACAGGAGATCTCAGTTCTGACCTGGGACTCCACTTTCCCAAAAATCCTTGGCACACCCCTTTTCGCACCTCCAGGCCCATATCCCACTTCGATCAGGAAGTCGAGCTGGGCATGAGGTTGGGCGTCACAGGGCCTGCTGGAGACCAAATTGGTAATCCTTCCATTCGAACGAGCATCTTGCTTTCCAAGCTAGCATCAATACCTGGAGCCTTGTGTACGTGAACAAGTTGGCTGCATAGGGGGACCAATCGGCCCAACACCAGGAGGCCGAGGTCCCACGGGACATGGTACGTTGTTAGGGAATGGAATGCAGCATCCCACCACTGCCAAATTTGGGCAACCATCGGGAATGCGAGGAGGCAATGCTCCAAGGTCGCACACGCCGGGGGGGAAGCCATGCCACAATAGGTGCATATGGGGGAGAGCTGGCCTTTCAATTCGAGGTCGGTTCTAGACACGAGCCAATCAGGTGTGGGAAGATATCGGTGCAGGATCTGCCATTGCAGCGAGCGGAGGTTTGTGGCATAGTGGGACCAGGAGAGGTTCCGCAAGAGGTCTCGGTCTATAGGTGAATCCCTAGCCCATCTCGCTGCAATGGTTTGGGTAACGTGCAGCGTCAGTCTTGACTTCATGTATCCCCTTCGGACTGTGCAGTCCCATATGTGTATGGGTTTGTCGCCTGGCTATTCCCACTCCGTCGGATCAAAAGGTAGGGCCTCGATCGGGTTCGAGGCTTCGTAGGCGTAGAAGGCCTCGTTTTGGTCACCCACCACTCTTATATTCCTCAATCCATCTCGGTTTTCATCGCAGTCCAGGTCGTGTCAATTTTGTAAGTCTCGCCCCTGGCAAGTCAGGATCATAGGCTTCCAAAGTACAGTTTCCCCGACTATTTTACTGAACTTTGTAAATAACCAAAGGCAGGGGGATGTCTCCCTGCCTCATCACCCAATCTCCTAACTGCACATGCGGCCCTTTTTTCAAGGCAAGTTGCCAGGCGAGAGGGATGGCTTCTCGGATCTGTTGCAGTTTGCTTTGCACATTTTTAATGTACCTGAGCCGTTGTTGGAGCTGGGGAGGTGCGACCCAATCCCTTGAGTGTGAGTCCCACAGGCTCCCAATCGTGTATACACCTTTTCTAACCCATTTGAGCCACGGCAAGTTGGACGTCGGCGAAAAGGGTTTGCCTGTGTTGTCCAGTATGTGGGGGTTGCCGAAAAGCGGTTGACGCCAAATGTCATACCACCTGTTCGGAGGCCGTTTCTGCTGTGGTCCAAACCGCCTCCAGAGTTGGATCATGTAGGGCCAGAGCGGGTCATTAGCTATGTCCTGCTTGGTGGCATGGGTCTGGTTTCATGCCGGCCCCGGGCTTGCCGGGGAAGGTATGGACCAGTGTGCATTGGTCAACCACTGGAGGGGGTGCACACAACTGTTCTCCATTGTCTGCGGGGCCAGGTTTGCGATCTGCAGCTGTGCCAGCGGGGACCACGGGATGTCGTTGCCAATGAGAAGTTTCACCAATACTTTGAAGATGAGGGCTTCGCTTTCCTTCTCGGGATCGAGTATTCTCATGCCCCCGTTAGATATGGACTGGGTGAGCCCCTCCCATTTCACCCGATGCAAGCAACCCTCGGCCTTTGCGCTGTTTTTCCATAGGTAGGTCGTCAAGGCTTTCTTAAGTTTTGCACATTGCTCTTGCCCCAACGGCCATATCGCCAGCTTATACCAAATTGCCGCAAGGACAACATTGTTAATAGTCAGAGTTCTTCCAACTAACGAGGTGTGCAGTCTGTCCCATCTGTTTAGTCTGTCAATTGCCAGGTTTATGAGGTTGTCCCCATGGTCAGCTGGGGGTCCAAGTGCTATCAGTTTCACCCCCATGGTCCTGATAGTTGTCTCCTTTGCTGCCCACGAGATCTGCGGTTGTAGTGGGGGGGGTGTAGCCACCATCCCTCTGTCTTAGCACCCCAGTTGACCTTCATGTCTGCAGCGAGCGAGAAAAGATGAATAGTATGTGTAAGCGCCTGGAGACTCTCGTCATCCGCTCGTATGAGGACCGTCAGATCGTCCGCAAACAGCGATGTCACCGGGATGAGGTGGTCCGGTAGGTCTGGGATGGGCACTTTATGAATGCGGGTTTGTGCCATAATCAGTGTTGCCAGAGCCTCCATTACGATGACAAAGAGCAGGGGCGCTATCGGATCTCCCTGCCGCAGGTAGCCATTCAGCATGATATTAGTCGTCGCCTTCTTATGGAGGAGCTGCACCCAGTGGCTAAAGGCCGGTGTCGGGACCGGTGGGTCCCGAGATAAGTCTTGTATAGTGAGAGGTGGTATATCGCAGAATTGTGCATGGCAGAAAAAACCGGAGGCAAGAAGGGTAAGAGGACCAAAGTCATCAGTACTGACAGTTGGAGATTTAGAGGTTGCCCGGAGGTGCCGGAGCCACAAGGTCAAGGAGAGACTAGCGGAACGGCGAGCGGCGAGAGACTATAAGAAATTAGCAGAGACGACACTTCCCCCGAAAGGGAGAAGGACCGTTGGGGAAGTTGGTGTCACAAGTTGCATGACGCAGGGTGGAAAGAATTGAAAGGAAAGAAATAAGCGGAGTGTCGGCGCGCGAGGACGTGGCTCGGGCCAAGTGCGCCACCGGGATGCGACGTCAAGAAGGCCAAGGGGCTGTGGGTCAAGTAAAGAGCCACAATCGGGGAGAGCGGCACACGGGACATGAGGAGGACAAAGGGGAGGAGGCCGCCATAAGGCGGAAAAATGATAAGGTACCGGGGACCACCGGCGGGATAAAGTGTCGGGGACCAACGACGGGACAAAGTGTCGAGGACCACCGGCGGGGCAAAGTCTCGGGGACAACCGACGATACAAGTACCGGCGGGACGAGTACCGGTGGGACCATAGTGGGACTAGTGCCGGGGACTAACGTGAGAAAATAGCAGAGACTTGTGACGTCCCAAGGAAAAATTATGGCGTGTCGAGAGGTGCAAATAATTACAGAAAGATGCACCGTCAAGATCAAGGATCTTGACGGCCAAGAATATTAGCACCACTAGCATGTGCGTTAGTGGGAGCAAGCGGGAGGGCCAAAAGAAAAAGAAAAGTGAAAGAATATGGATGTAGAGGCATGGGAGCAATCCGGAAAATTCCGGATTGACCCCCCTAAGAAAATAGAACCAGGAGGGACTCCATGAGAAAAATAGGCCTTCCGGAGAAAATCGGAATATTGGGGCCTACCGTTTGGAAGAGACAGAGGCAATCAGAGGCTCCCATGGACATGGAAAGGCCACAAGTGCAGTCCGAGAAATAACAGACTGGCCCTTGGGCATGGGAAGGGCCAAAACAAAGAGGAGGAGCCTAGAAAAGGTCCTTAACGGCTAGTTGACACTTGACGTGCAAAAGGAAAAAAAAAAAGGAAARRAAAAAAAAAAAAAAAAAAAAAAAAGGGAGGTGAGAGAGGATGAGTGAGTCTACCGTCATCAGGGACTGCAGCAACTAGAGATTGGCAGGTCCCTACTGCCCACAAGTGGAGGAAAAGAAAAGAAAAGAAAAAGAAAAGAAAAGGAGAAAAGTCAAAAGGGCACTAACAGCAAAAAACGGTCACCTAGGGGGTGCTTTTGTGACCAGATTCATTCTGGCATATGTTAGTTACAAAGTACCTTGAGTTTTTCTTGATTTTGCAGAGAAAATCAAGAAAATCAAGGCCCCATGCAACCGAAAAATAAAGGATTACATGGGAGAGGCCAAACACATGTTTTAGGTGCACCGGGGGCCAAAATGAGGACCGGATGCACTTGGGAGTTGGTCGTTCCTTTTTTGTTCAACTTGGGGCTAGTTGTGGGGCATTGGGGCTAAGGAATTGGCCCCTATTGCAGTCCGAGTTGTAACGGACTGCATGGGGGAGGCCAAACACTTGTTTTTGGTGCATCCGGAGCCAATATCTAACCCAGATGCACTTGAAAATCAAACGCTTCATTTTCTTTTAGCATGGGGCAAGTTGTGGGGCTGTGGGACTAGGAAAATGGCCATGAATGCAGTCCGAGAAATAACGGACTGCATAAGGATGCCTAGGCCAAGGGAAAACGAGCCATGGCTAGCCCAAACGGCTAGAAAGAGGTGATTTCGGCATGGGGCAAGTGTAGATAGTAAAACGGCAACCGTGAGATGAGATCTCACGACCAAGAAAAATCGGCACACACGCGGCACCCAAGAAAGAAACACTGGGACTGCTGGGGGCAAGAGGGTCCCAAAATAAAAATGGGATGCTATTTGGAACATTGTCGGGGACCGAGTGAGTCCAAATAATAAAAGTCGAAAAAAAAAGGGACAAGCGCCGGCGGGGCCGATGGCGGGACAAGAAAATGGAACTAGTATGGAAGGAACGGGCGGGGACTTGGGATGTCCCAAGGGAACCATGAGCAAGCACAATGAGTAATTGTGTGAGCGAACGACGCCGTCGAGATCAAGGATCTAGACGGTGGGGAGTATTAGCACCACAAGTGCAAGCGCTAGTGGGGCCCAAACGGGAAGCCTAGCGGTAAAAAGAAAATGAAAACGGGAGTTGGGAGGGCTGCCCAGCAATCCGAGATATTTCGGACTAGCTAGGCATGTAAAAATGAAGCTCTAACAACCCCAAAATGAGAAACGGGCTGCCCATGGAAAATCGGAGTGAAGGGGATTCAAAAATCAGACAAACGGTGGCAAAATGAAGCCCTCTAGGAGCAAGGGAGGGCTAATTTTGAAGTCTGGGATGTAACGGCCAACAGCCGGCCATGAACCTGGCCATGATTGAGGTTCCTAGGCCTAGAAAGAGAGTGCACAACTGATGGACACTTGTCACAGCAAGAATAAAAGAAAAAAAAGAAAAAAAAAGGGAGAAAAAAATAGGAGGATGAGACAAAACGGGAGAAAAAGGTGGAGGAGGATGTGTCGGCCTATTGGGACTGCTGCAGTAGGGTTTGGCATGTCCCAATGACGACCTCATCCATCCTAGGATGAGGGAGGGTAGGCCGGATTGTTATCTACAATATCTTAATTAAAAAAAACAAAAATGAGAGAAAATGCAAAAAGGGAATGACCAGTTTTCTTTTTGACAGATCAGATCTAATGGTGGAGAAGAAACAACCGATTTTTGTCCATGTTCGAGACACGATGAAAATACAATGTATGCCCCTGCAAATCGTTCGGACGCCGAATCACGTTCAGTCGAATCTCTGATCCCTCTTCCGGAAAAAACCCACGTCCGTCGTTGACGATTCCGACAAAGCCGAGCCATCGAGTCAGAGTCTCCTCGAACACCATCGACACCCTCTCCGCCCAGGCGATGCGGTCTGCATCGTTTGTATCTCGAATCAGGAGATACATGGGGATCGTCAAGTCGCGTCGAGCTCCAGCCATCCTGCATCACAAAGCTCCATCATCAAATGTGAAAGAGTTTTAGCAAATTCTCCTCCTGCCGCTGGAGCGCCTCATCGTCACATCTCTCCGCGACTCGGAATCCGACACCATACGGTCCCACACGATCGTAATGCTCGATGTATATGAATGGCCCCTGCCGAGCGTGGTGGTTCCATATAATGCGCAGGGACAACCACATGATCTCGTCCTCAAACTTGCGGTGGATAGACTTGTTCACGACGTCGTAGACGATCCCGGCGTCGAACCAATGCGTCTTCCTTAGGGGGCAGACGCAAACGCTTAGTACCAGCTTCATGGCCGTCGTCACAAAAGTGTAAATCCTTGGCGGGTCCTCAAGGGTTCCTTGGTCTTCCCTTAGCTCCACCTCGGTCGGGAAGATGTCCACGAGATGGAAGACTATGCGGCCGACTCTCGCCCATCCTTGCCTAAATCCTCCCACGGCTACAGCAGACGCCCTTGCCTCCATCTTGCTTACAAACAGCATGATGGTGGCGACCGTCGCGACCCTTCGACGCGAACTGCTCGAGGCAGCACTGCTCGCGGCACCCGTGTTGTCTGTCACCCTCGCCCCCATTTCTCCGGCTAGCCGACTCACTCGCTTGTCCAAGCCTCGACACGATAAGCGATGGAGGCCAGGACGAACTAACTTCCGTCGTTCTCCTAGAAAAGGAACCGGCAACACAAAAACCTTGTAGTGAAGTAAAATATACGAGAGGCTGAGCTATTTATATAGAATGACGCCAAGCGTGCGCAGGCTAAATGTTGGGCGATTCCTATCGCTGCTTAGTTTCCACAAGTCTTATGGGAGTTGGAAGCTACCCTTCCTTCCGTGGTGCTCCCCAAGCCAGACGAGGCCGCTAGGTGCATGCTCATTGGAGCTATTTCCTATGCGCCGGATAGTTCAAGAAAGAAATGTGAAAATAGAGGAGGCTCGTCGACCCGTTTCACCGCGTCCTCCAAATCTTGTCGTGGGTAATAGCCGAGGATCGCTTTGTAGCAATATAACTGACGGCCCATATCATGAAATCCTAAAGCGGAGGACGCCTAGCCAAATAAAGGAAGGCATAATTAATGACAAGATCCTCCCCTCGTGACCCTCAATCGACCAAGGATCTTGCGAACCAAAAAAATAAACAAAGGAGC